CCCAAGCATCAGCAGAACGAAGGCACGCTTTTCCTGCTCGGCTTTTTTCAGCCTCTGGGGCCGTGACGCGTTGGGCGCAGCGCTGGGCCCTGCTTTCCACCATGACTCCTCTCCACCATTACCGCGATGGAAGCGCCGGGAGCGCTCCGCCGTGCCGGAGGCCCCCAGGGAACGGGCCGCAGGCAATACTGACGTGCGACGGAGGAACCGGGACTGCCCCTGCCGCGGCCGGGAGATAAAGGAGATAAGGGAGATAAGGGAACAGCGCTTGGAGCAGCCGGGGCGGCTCCGTCCCCGCCCCGCCCCGCCCGGCCGCTGACAGCGGGCCCTGCCCCGCCGCGCACCTGCGCCCGGCCCCGGCCGTCATTTCGAAGCCGCCACCAAATGGCTGCCCGGCGGCCTAGCGACGGGGGACGGTCCCCTCCCCGCGGTGCGGCGGCGGGCGGGGCGCCAGGGGCCGCGCCGGGCAGGCCGGGCCGGGCCTCGCTCCCCGTCCGGATTCCGCAGCGCCGGGACCCCGCAGGGCGCCGGGGTGGGGGAGCGGGCGGGCGGGGCCCCGCCGGGTCACCGCGTCCCCTTTGGCGACCGCCCCCGCCCAGCCCCGCTCCTACCTGCGAGGCGCGGGCGGAGGGGCCGGGAGCAGGCGGCGGCCCCGGCCTCTCACACGCCATGGGGCGGGCAGCGCAGCGCGGCCCGGCGGAGGCTGTGGGGGCCTCGGCGGCGCCTCCTCATCGCGCTGACAGCCGGGAGCGTCGTCCCGCCCCCTCTCGCGAGAGCCGCCCGCCGCGCGAGAGCCCAACGGCCGCGCCGCGCCCGCCGGCCACGTGACCACCTCGCGGAGGGAGGGGGCGCGGGGCATCGTGGGAGTCAGTAGGGCGGCGCTGGGGCGTCCTCGCACCGCCCGGCGAAGGGGCGTCATCGAGACGGCGGCGTAGAGCGGCTCTTGCAACCCGCTAGCGCCTTCCCGCGGTCTGTCAGCGTGCCCCGCCAGGTATCCGCTGCTGCTGTTAGTTGTGGTTATCTTAAAATTAAATTCATCACTTCGTAATGACTGTCCAGAAAGAGAGGGAGGGGCTAAACTGTCGCGGTTGGAGGTTCCCGGGAGCGGCCGAGGCGCTGAGGAGGGGCGCTGAGGAGACGCGCGGGGCGGGAACACGCTCCAGAGCCGCTCGGAATGGATCGAATGTGATTAGAAGGCGTAAGCGTTCCTGAAACGGTGTGCAGTTCTCTGTCTATGACAAGCGGTTACATGTATGGAGAGGGGACAGGGAGCATCTTCAGGAGAACGTGCTTAGCAGCACCCCGAAAATGCTCGACTGCGGCCGCCAAAGGCACCGTGCACAGCTCAGCCTGGCCACACACACACACAGGCCCTGGTTCTGTCACATTTATTGAACTACAGTGGTCTCTTCTCTTTTTTTGTCTTTTCCAAAATGCGAGGCTGTTGCACAAGGTGATTGTAGAAGAAGTGATTGTAATTCATACTTTAACCAGCTGCTTACCCTGGGTGTGTCACTTTTGTCACAGCTCATAAAGACACGGATAGGCAGACGTAGTGTGTATGTTCCAATGAATCAATGCAACGGAATCCTTCACAAGTCAACTGATACAAAGTCAAACATTTTAATGAATTTTTGGAGGAATGTGGCTCAGTCAGCTTTAGAAAACACAACTTGTCCCTTTTGACAACATGATTTTTGAGGAAGGCATACGCATACAGCTTAATGTGAAAGGGAACCTGGAAATATCGTCACAATCCAACTAATGTACACTTATGTACTGAATTAAACCAAATGGAAAACTTTAAAAGTACCCAATAAAACAAGTGGAAGATTGTAATATGCAAAGATAGTGCTAAAGCTGGTATAGCTGATCATTTCCATTACAGGTAGTAACAGGGAACTGCACTGCGTGCATTGTACATGCATTCATTTAACTGATAAATAAAATCCCAAACAATGACCAGTTACAATCACTGAGAACGAAATTAAATCAAACCTGTTAACTGACATTAAAAGTTGTTGTCTTGTATTTTAAAAACAGCCAGGTTATGGAGCACAAATGTGATACTTCTGGATTCAGCAAGAGTTTCACAACAGCATTTGTCAGCCTTGAAGGAAAGTGTATCCACACATGATACAGACAAGATTAAGAACTCCTTTCTGCTAACTGGAGAGTCTAATGTAAGTACAACTATCTCATAACAACAACTGAATCAATTCTTTATTCATTTCACATTAAGTGCAAGAAACACATACCAGTCAAAGACAAGTACAGGATAAAGATTTTGCGTTACAGGGGTTCACTGCTTGTGATGAAATGGAAGTAACTTTTGATAAAGTACAAACACAGCTATCCAAACACACAGTTACTGTTTTACAGTATCACAGAATTAGAAGATCTCTATGTCTAAGTAGTTCTTTTTAAGATATAATGGATTGCTTTTCAAAATGAACACAGCAAGTGTTATTATATATAGTAGCATACAGTTCATGTTTTCACATTAGTATATATATCTAAGATCTGTAAAAAAAACAAAGACAAATCTTTCAGCTCAGCAAATGAGCCTAACTTAATCAGAGTAAGTCAAACAGGCACTAAACACTGGTATAACAGAAGAAATGATATGGAGAGAGAAATCTGGAAAAATTCAGATCTGATTCATAAAACTGAATGCAAGTCCTTCTAATGAGACTATCCAGTTAAAAAAAAATGAACTGCAATGCAATACTGTTTTGTTCACTTTTACCAATTCCCTATTTGCAAAAGGCAACTTGAGTATGAGCACATGCCTTTCTTCTCTTGAAAGATCCAGCAAAGTTCAGTCAAGGAAGGAGATGACATCACCATAATTATGCATGAATACAGGGGGGTGACTGACTTGCTGAATATCTACAAACATCTCTTAGCCATTATAGATCAGGAGTGTCATGGCTCAGGCTTCAGCTTATTGCAATGTCAGTAAAAGTTTAAAAATTGGCAGTGTCTGCCCTTGGAACAAAGGAGTGCAAAGCATCATTAAGAGATAATAATTAGAACATTTCAGGGATGTTACAAGACAGGCATGAAACTGTTCCCCGTGTTTTGCCATGTACTTTCAATTAATAAACTACTAAAAAGTCCTTTTGAGGACTTACAGCACAGCAGCCCTCGCACAGCAGACAAGAGAGCTGTTCTCAGGACCTGACTGATCACCAATCTCATGTTTTTCCTTTTCTCCATTACGTGGGGATCTGTTGAATGTGTACAACTTCACCAGATAGAAGTTTTTTGTGGAGCCTGGCTCCACACCCACTCACCTATTAATCACAGTCTATTTCAATTTTTGTAATAGTATTCAGGTTTGGTTTTTCGCTGCTACTCCTTCCGTGAACAGATGTTAGGTGCTTTTTAAGAGCAGACTTGTGTTTAAAGTCCATGTCACAGCAATGACACTTGTAGGGCCTGTCACCACTGTGTATGTTCAAGTGATCCTGCAGAGTACTTTTGGCAGTGAACGTCTTCAAGCACACCATGCATTGGAACGGGCGGATACCCATATGGCCCCGGATGTGTCTGTTGAGATTCTTTTTTTGTGTAAATGTTTTACCACACTGCAAACACAAGAAAAGCTTGTGCATTTTTAGATGTCTAAGATAGTTCTCCAGATGCAGAAATCCTCTTGGACACTTTGGACATTGGTTCCGCCACAAATTATCAGAATCGTCCAGATTTTGAAACCCATTTATCTGAGTCGAAGTCCCCTCTGGATTGTCAGTGACAAAAGCCTGAGCGTTCCTGAGAGTTCCTGACATTTCTGAATTTCTGCTCTCAACTGTAGAATTTATCAAGGAGTGCTGGGTTTCAGGAAAATATAAGTTTGTTTTAGAGGAGGTGCAAGGCTGAGGAAAATGATCGTTTTCCACATTAGGTACATTCATAGGATCCATTCTGAAGATACATATTTCATCATCCTTATATCCTATTTCAACCGTTGATATGTCTGGGGTCCCTGTGTCCTTTCTTTCTGAGCCCAAACTCTGTGCCGCAGGCTGCAAGTCATCCCCCTTCTCCTGTTTAACGGAGAATTCTAAATTAACTGGGCTATCTTCATAAATCTCAATTATTTCACAGTCTTTATCAGAAACGTCGTCCTTGCTCCTCAGTTCAGTGTCAGAGGAATGGCACTTTTCTGCAGCCTGGCTGCTATTCTCCATGGAAGCGTCGATTTCCAGGTATTTTGACAGCGCCTCGCTGCACTTCTCCACAATGTGGACCATCTGGAGGTAGCTGGCGGCAGTCAGGTACTTCAGGAGCTCCTTCCTCTTGACCTCCAACGCACCCGTGTAACAGGAGAGCAGCAGCTTCCTGCCCACCTCGGCACTCTGCAGGATGGTGATTCGCACCTGCCTGGACTGGTTGAGCAGGAACTGATCCCTCATGAACGTGGAGCAGGCGGCAAAGATCACCTTGTGCCCGTGGAACTCGGTGTCGTTGATGAAAATGGAGACGTCGCAGAAGAGGTTCTGCTGCCGCAGGAGGTTCATTTTCTGCAGCACCGCATCTCCCTGCTGCTCGAACTGGAAGCGCAGCACCTCCGAGTCCGCGGCCATGGCGCCGGGCCTGCGGGCCGCCCGCCCCGGGGCCGAGCTCTCTTCGCCGGTGCCCGCCGAGCGCAGACAGCGCCGCCGGCAGCTCAGGGCCGGGCCGGACCTCGCTCGGCCGCTCACCCGTCCGCCCACCCCCACGCTCCCCGGCCACTCCCGGTGCCGCTCCGCCGCCGGTACCGCAGAGCCCAGCCACCCGGAAGCGCCCCCCGAAGCCCCGCCCCTTCCGGCAGCGCGTCCCGCCCCGCGTCGGTGGGAAATGAGAGGCGGTGCGGAAGTTAGCAGCACGTTTATTACAAGACTTGGCACTGCTACAGCGGCACGGCGCCACCCGCCCGGGAGAGGTAGCAACGCAGCGGCCCCGTAAGGCGCTCGGGAGGGCGGAGGCGCAGGGCCCCGGGGCGGCCGAGAGGAACGGGCAGCGCCGGCTCCTGCCGCCGGGCCCGGCCCCCCCAGCCTGCTTTGGTAACGCTCGGGATGAGCCTCCCGCCCAGTCTCTGGAGAGGTAGCTGATGCTCGGTCCGTCGGCTGTAGGCCCACGGGAAAGCGCTCATTCAGTGAGTGACGAGAGCCGGCGGTTCACCTGTCCACCTCCTTCTCAAAAACCGCGGTATAACGCGAGCTCCCAATCCTTTCCACGGTTTCAGCTGGTGTCATGCTCTGATTCTCGCTCCTCACCTTTATTCCTCCCAGCGGCTCCAGAACCAGAACCACAACCAGCCCCATGGAAGCATTAAGTTCCTCTGAGAGGAGTTCAGCGGCAGCTATCGGTTTTGCCAAGAAGTCAGGGGAGAAAGGCTGACATTTCAATCGTATCAGTTATGGACTCGCAAAACAGGCCCTCTAAACGAAAAAATAAGGAAAGACTCATCCCTGATCCCTGCAGGAGGCTGTGCAGCTGCACCACGTTCTGCAGGAAGACATGCTACGTGAGCTACCACCGCTCAGTGAGGTGGTGAGCCCCAACCTCGTAAATCTAAGACTTCTAAGAATTCTATGTCAAATAAATAAAATGCCAACATAAAAATCCTAATATATTCAAGAAGTTATTAAAATATTTTTGTAGTAGACCAGATATTTTTAGGATATGCAGGACGTTGTACAGCACATTAAGTTGTGAGACTATCCACTTACCAGCAAATAGTATTCTACACATTAACACACAGATTATAACTGCCATAGTCCTTATCTGAATATGCAGCATCAGCAGCAACAACCACTGGATCTAGTCTTTCACTAACTGGAACAATGCAATGAAGACAACATTTTACATACATGGACAATTAAGTTCATCTTACTCTAAAATCAAGCTGCCCCTGTATATTCTGTTTATAGTAATTCTCACTCCATTTTAATCTAATCCAGGGAAGAGGCAGTATCCAGGTTTTGCTTTTCCAATATCTCTGTTATACTCTTAACTTCTCTGCTCCACATAGGGGCAAATCTTACATGAAATCTACCAGAGCACTTCACATTGCGCTCATCAGCACATTGCCCTCTTAGATCTCCACTGCTTCTGGATTTACACAGCTGTCTCCTGCATAACTCTTGGTCTGTATCCCTTTGCCAAGCCAAAAGCACAAACATTTTGTAAGTCACCTTTTATCCAACAGACGTGTTTCATTTTCAATGAAGAAGCAGTCTTCTGCATTTCTGCTTTTTCCTATTTTTTTCTGCCATGATCTCACCACATGGTCACAAGCAGCCTTTTAAACGAGTAGCCAGCAGTCTCAGCCTTTTCACAAGTTGGTGTGACCACAGTGCAGGGTGGACAGAAAACTCATATCTTGATCAAATCATTTTTAGTTTCTTAGGATAACCTCTCATCTCTTCGTTTCAGCTTCAGGTCACCAATGGCTACTTCAACAAGCTGTATCCTCCTTGCAATAACATTAAAGCTTTGAAATTCCATGAAGAAACTTTCCAGACAGACCTCCTAATAACATCCATTTTCTTGGCATTCGTACAGTTTTATTCCTTTCTCTGGCAGAAGACCATTCTCTTTATTATGTCCATATTCGTATATTGTTAGATTTTCCACTAATCCCTTACAGCACGTTGGCCTGGCTCTGCAAAGTTCTTACTCTCCATACCTATCTTCTTTTTGACATCAGAGCTATAACTTATTTCCACATAACGAATAACATTATAAAAACTTTTTAACGATGCAGAAGATTCTGCCCAAAGTCAGAACGCAAGTGTCAGATGCAACCGTCATTATCTGTTTTAGCTCAAAGTTATTCTGAAAGCAGGTAACTTCAGAGGAAAAGTTTTTTTTTTTCCCATGCCTACCTATTTTCTGCCCCAAGAACCTGAATTTTTTAAGTTCCAAGAAGTTACATTTTTGGCCTAAATATATTTGCTACAACTTGAAAGATATAATGCCCTAACTCCATTTCCACTGCGTATTACTTCATAGCTGTCCATGTAATAATAGTTAATGTAACAGTCAAGTACAGTAGTTCAAAAACTCAATTGCAAAAACGGATTCACAGAATCACCTTGCTTTTCTACTCGAAGGTATGTGGATTTCTGAAAATGGTCTGCAAGATTAACACATTTTTACCATTCATCAGTGTCAAGTCTGCATAAGGAAATCCTGGTTTCTACATACGCGTATCTGAAGACCAAGACCAACTTTTGATAATTACGTACAAAACATTTTTCTGCTCTAACACACCTTTGGTCATACCTGTTGAGCATTTTTAACCATACAATAGCAGCCTCCCCCCTATCCCTACCCCCTCATTCAAACACACAAACAATACTACTTTTAGGTAGGAAGCATAATCTCAGCCTCATGGCAAACCTTGAGGAAAAGAGCTGCACTGGAAGAAATACTTATTCCAAACATAAACAGCAGTTCTCTACCAAGGATCAGCCACTTGATTATCAGTCTGTGCTACACTTCAATATAAGAATGCTGTTCTACTGGGAATGGTGTTAAGCAGATGAGAAATTCGTTTCTTTCAGCCTGACTGGGATGTGGGGAACTCCATGGCACTTTCGTGAAGTAATAATCCCAAAATCCCAACTAATATGCCATTCCCTCAACATCTGATGTTTAAGGCGGTATACATGAGGTATTGCTAAGTACAGTCGATAGCTGATAAACTAACCTATGGAAATTATGCTACCTGTACCTCATCTTAGGCTCTGTAAAATGCTAATGGGCATGAATTATGTGGGTCACTTTAAAGAAAAGCATCCTTTCAGTATCCAAGAAACAAAAAACTTCATGCTGTTAATGTTTTTACCTACCTATGGCAGGTACTTTTTTCTTTTTTTTTTTCATATTAACTGACATGTGGCTCTTATTAGTTCTCAAGGAGACGTACACAAGAGTTAAGGGGAAAAAAAAAAGCATGGAGTTCCTATACATTGCAGCTTCTGAAACAGATTCTTTTCACAGTGTCACTCCAGCTTTGCTCTAAAACCAATTAGGAAAATAGCAACTGTTGTGGTTATCTGAAACAAAACTTATGGAAGATAGATGACAACTTCTAGTTTTGAAGTGCTTACCTTGAATCAGTCCATACAATGGTAAGTGCCCTTTGATACTTCTGTGTATGACAGCTTATGAAACAGGTCATACCTGGCACTCCAGGTGCCGAGCTCACACATTCCAGAGCTGCAACCTACTCTCATTTTGAACAGTTCTATGCAATGATCAACTAACCCTGCCAAATCATTCAGGGCTTCACCTTTTCATAATGCATGCCAACATTAAAAACCCTGAGAGCTTTTAAGATAGTGTTAACTGGCAGCAGAATTGTCTTGAAATAGTTTAGAAAGGGAAAAAAGTGACATAGGTATACTTCATTTCGACTGTAGGGGTCTAGGGGTAAGATCAGACAAAAATAACGTTAAGAGGTAAGTTTAAAACAAATCAGCACTATGTGGAGTGCTTTCAGTGATCCAGTGCTTTATAATATAACAATTGGGTTATCTCACACACTTGTCCTCTTTGCTCTTTCCTCCATCTGCCCAGAAACAGAGAAGCCTCTAACTGTACAGCAGATGGTTTACTTGCAGCACACAGCAACAGTCTTTCAAAAGGTGTTAGTCTTGAGTCTCCTAATCAGAGAGAAATGAAACAATTAACCCCTTAATCCACAGTAGAGACACAGACAGAAACCTGAAGGAAGATTGTTATTCACAGAAAATATCAAGTAAGACTAAGAACGATGGCTGAAGACCTGCCAGGTTTTGCAATCCAACCCTCCATCAGAAGCCTTTCAGAGCATACCACTAGTTTAGGTAAGAGCCCAAGCCAACTGTTTGCTCCTCCCAGTCATGATCCCTACAAGGGCTGTTTTTAATTGCTTAATTGACACAGGTACTATCATTTCTTAAACTGAGCACAGCCTGAGGCAGCTTCCCTGCATCCAGTACCTGGCTTCCATCGGCCTGCTGACAGACCTTACTGTCTGTAGCAGCGCTACATGTGAATGAATCGAAGTCCACCGTTATGTCTTGAACATTTCTTTCATTGGCATTGTCAAAGCTATTTTTACCATGTAGCTGTTTAAGATGTTTCCTCAGAACGGGCTTATGCGCAAACACCATGTCACAGTAGTTACACTTATGGGGCTTGTCCCCACTGTGCAGGTTGAGATGGTCCTGTAAGGAACATTTCTGAGAGAAGGTTTTCCCACAGATCTTACATTGGAACGGTTTGATGCCTGCATGCACTCTCATGTGCCGGTGGAGATTGCCTTTCTGAGTGAATGTCTTGCCACAGAGGAGACACATGAATAGTTTATGCATCTTTAAGTGATTAGCATAGTTTTCTAGATGCCGAAATACTCTTGTGCACTTTGGACACTGATGATGCCACTGGAGGCCTTTGTCTATACCACGGTTGTTAGACCCAAACATATCTTTAGAGGCCAGAATGATGTTATCACTGCCAGCATATGAAAGGGCATAATTGTGGAGGTGGTTTTGCTCTATTTCACTTGCTCTGTTTTCAACAGTGGAGTTGATTAGAAAGTGTTGAGGTTCAGAGGAATGCAACGCAGTTTGTTCAGAAGAAATAAACTGGTTCTGATCCTTCTTGTTCCTAACTTCTGTTACCTCCCCAATGGACTCCACCTTGATAATCTGAATATCACTATCCTCCATGTCCATACTGTCTTCTGAAGGTTGAATACAAGGTGAATCTTGTGGCAGAGAGTCTTCATCTTCCCCATGTTCCTTCAGCTCAGAGGAGTCACTCTGCTGTTCACACTCCTTGCTCTCCAACGGCTGCTTCGGTTTTATGAACTTCCAGAGTGCCTGCGTGCATCGTTCAACAATGTGGCTCATCTGCAGAAAGCTCGCAGCAGTTAAGTAGTTTACCAGCTCCATTTCAGGAAACTCCAGAACTCCGCTGTAACAAGACAAAAGCAGCTGCCTCCCTACTTCCGAACTTTGCAGGATAGAGATTTTTACATCTCTAGAGTCATTCAATAAGAACTGATCTCTTAAAAAGGGAGAGCCAGCAGCAAATACAATTTTATGCCCATGAACTTCAACATCATCTATATGGACGACAACATCACAGAATTTGTTTTCTTCTCTCAGTTTGTTCATCTTCTGTAACATCGAATCGCCGTAATTATCAAACTTGAAGTGAAGAATATCTGATCTTTCTGACATTTTGGCACACCTAAAGGAAAGCAGCAAGGAAAAAAAAAAAAAAAAACAAGTGAGAATGCTTTGTTTTGTTTCCAGAACACAAATAAGAAAACTCTGTGTTACACATTGCCCTGCAGTACCTTTAAAAAAAAATCAATGCAGTTTGATTACTAAATAGAAACAAGGACAGATATTCTCTTGAAGCAGTGTTCTAAAGAGTTACAATGTTTTCCACATTACTTGTGGAATTTAAAGGGAAATCACGGAAGTATTTTAGCAGTCTTAGCAGTTGTACAGTTTTGCTTCCACATTAAAACTCTTCATAGATTTTTGTCTTTTCCAAATACAATGACAACCCTTCAGCATTTGGGTTCTCTGTTTACTTTCATGTTAAAGAGCTTTCATAACGCA